AAATGTGTATGAATATATGTAAATATTGACTTTAATAAAGTTTGCTAAGCAAGGTTAAGCTAGTTTAAAAAAAAAATAAATAAATAAAATAAAAATATATATAAGTGATCTGAAAATGATCAAAAAAAGAGAAGATTGGCAACAACCTAATAATAAAAATACTATGTTCTATTTTATTCTCAAAACTAATCTTGTGAAAACCCCACAATATCATCTTGTTAACATACAATCTATAACTCTGTCAAATTTACACATCTCTTGAAAATGATCTGATTTCTTGAGTGATGTCATACAACGTGATTCAGAGGGAAGTGACTGACTCACCATTTCACTATAGTATAATAATAAATTAAAGTTTATTAAAAAGTAATAATAATAATAATTCTATTTATACTGTTACAAATTTGCTTTATCTTTTTTATAAAAAAATTTTTTTAAATTAAATTAAATTGGTTTTGTTATTGTAATACTTAATAACATTTACTTTCAAAAAATAAAAGATATTAATTAATAATAAAGATTCTTACTAAAATTTTTTTGTTTTAAAAAATTTTTTATTGATATATTAAAGATAAAAATTCTTTCATGCTAATTTTTGTTTTAAAAAATTACCATATACACAGTAATATAAACTTTATTATCGAGTGTAAACATGAGACGCGGTCAAGTTGCGTGGAAAGAAACTCATTGTTGAATATAATTTGATAGTAAATTATAAATATAAAAGAGAATTAAATATATTAAGCGCGTCACATATATAATATTGAAATAAAAATTGCTTTACATAGCTTCGTTACAACATAATTACAATTTACGATCGCTAAGAATATACATGAAAAATCATTAAATTGACTTCACTTGAAGCATTTAATTTAAAGTTGCACGGCAAATAGCATCAAATTCTTCCTTGTTAACGACCTTATTAAAAATTTCATTAGAAAAATATACTCGATAATTAAAATAATATGTATATCTGATGATTGGTTATTGTCGTACCTTCACTTTTGGAGATTCCGTTGAATCCATATCTTTATGTTGGGGCGTTTCAAGCTTAACGAATTCATCGACGGGTTTGCCCCAATTATGCTGACCTGCACCTTCCTAAAAGATCTGTAAGAATATGCGACGAGCGCAGGAATAATCAACCAATATACATACCTTCTTTGGCATGCCGCGAGGGTCCGTAAGGCCATTTCTTTTTAAAAAATAAAAAACAGATAAAAATCGAAAGTTTTTGAACAAAGAAAAGAGGTAAAAAACTTACCTTTGCAAATGGCGGTCATTTTTAGAGGCACCTTGTGGAGGAGTTTGTTTGGTACGAGTCATGTTTGCTATAACAACGTATGTGAATGAGAATTCTATTTTTTTTCAAGAGAAAGAAAGTAGGCTTTGCGTGAGAGTTATTTTGCACTGTTATTTATATTTGATCTGCGTAATGACGTTTATAAACCAGTATGGATTACTGCAATTTTCGTGTCGCGAAATATAAATTAAACGTCACTAAAAATGAAATGATGTAATTTAACAGTATTTTTATAATAAAAATAAAGCAAAAATATGTATAATATAAAATATGAGTAATTATTTTCGAAGGAAGACAATTATAATCCTAAAATGTGTATTATATACATTAAGTCTATTATTATTCACGTGACACGACATACGAACCCTGGAAATTGCTAGAATTTCTTGGAAACCCCTGGAATCGATTTGTTATTAAATCATTGAAAATCAATTTATTAAAATTAAATCAAAAAATTTTAAATTTAAGTTTCTTTTATAATCAAATTTTTTTATATACTTTAATAAATTTAATATGGATTTAATAATTAATATATGGTTGATTCTTTTTGAAAACGACAAAAATATTATATGCGATTTTTTTATTCCTATTTTTTGAACGATATATATACAATATAAATTCTAGGAATACAATAATAAAGTCAAAAAAATACATGTCCAACTTCAAAAAGAATTACCCATATATTGTAAAATATATAGTATAAAAAAAATTTATATTTATATATTAAAAAAACTTAAAATAATAATATACAGTATGGATCAAAAATAATTGGAAAAAATTAAAACTCATATTTTATTCATAATTTAATAAATAATTAAATAACTAAAATAAAAATAGTTATAGGCATATTTGGAGAT